GATCGGCTTTGTTTGGAGGTTAGGCAAATGGGAAAGGCATCCCGTAATGTCCAAACTTCCAGACAAAACCGCTAAGGGGCAAGGTGAAAGGGGGTGGCTTCCGAGCCAGACCACCAAACATAATCCCAGGTGATATTCCCAACAGCAACCCGCGTCGCACCCTTCCGGAACCCGAAACCACCCCGAGCTACCCCAAAGTTTTCCGCTGTTGAAACGCCACGCAGGGGGGCCAAACCAACGGCGCAAATCGGAAGTGTCGTTCTTTGATTCCGGAGAGATCAACTCTTCGAGTCATATTTGTGTGGGCTTTTGTGTCAGTTTTGGTCCAGTTGGGTCGCCAAAGGGCTGCCGGACCAGCTACCTGTGGCCACGACTTGTAGGCAGCATCTGTCACTCGCGGGGCTTCACCACTTTGGTTTCTTTCCTTTCGCCTTTCTAAGAAACCGGCAAACAGTCTTGGTTTTTGCCGAGTCTTGGTTTTTGCTGGGTCTTTGGTGGGAACCAGCCTCTGGGTCTTTGAAAAATCCGACTTTCCTGGCAAAAAGTCTTAAGCTCGCTGATTCGGAAGAACACCAAAAATCTGCAGCTTTTGGCGCGTATTCGGGAAACTAAAAGGAAAGCGCACAGGGTTGCGAGTGCCTGCCAAACTATTTCCGAGCCTTTAATATCTACCCCAAAATAAGGGTCACGCCCTTTCCAGGGTCCACCTGTCATGACCCAACCATTTTTACAGGGTGGCGCAAACCCCAGCAACTGCAAGTGTTGAAAAGGGCTTTGCGAACCGGTTCCGGAAACCAACCAGAGTTTGTGACCTGAGTCTCCTTTCGAAGGACCAAGGATGGGGAAAGGTCCAATTGGTCACAGCCTCCCACCACTTTCTTGCAACATACTGCAAGCCCAGTTGACTGATGCGGGGTGTCCCATGTTCAATGGCAATCCAAACCACTTTTCCCCCCCTGCATTCATCGCCCGGTTGATCGAACTGACTCATGTGGCTGTGGGTCAAAACCAATAGTACCATTTTGGGGGTAGGTGCACCACCCATTTTAGTCTATTTTAGTGGGGATTGGGATGGTCACTGGGGGTACGGGGTTTTGACCCATGCCCATGTGAGTACTTCTTGGGACCTTTTTTGGATTGTGTTAAAGGGAAACTACTTTGAGACAAATCGCATGTCTCGAACCCATAGACTAAACATGTTGACCGAACCTCCTATGGCTACACCACACGTAGGTCCCCCAAAGTGTGGCCCACGCAGTTCCCATTAAGAAGTAGGTGATATATATATATATTGCCAGACCTGATTCACTGACAAGTCAGCCAACCCCCTGTTGCTCCACTCCATGGTCCGCAGGTTGAGCCTCCCAAATCCATTTAGCCACGCCGCATCTCGTTGCGCAGAAGCTTCATCCCATAGACTGGATTCATAGCCACACTCTCGTAGGACGCATTGCTCCTCGAAAGACCGGTGGTGCACTGAGCAAAGGTGTTTTGTTTTACCCAAAATGAGCCGTTGTCCGGCTTTTCGTGATGGGGTTGACCCAAATATTCCGTTTAGGGCCCCAGTTTTGACCATGGGCAACTTATTTAGTGATTCCCCTTAATGTTGGGCAGGCGGGCGGGTGGGTGGGTGGATTCCATTTCAACCCAGTTTTGTAGGTAATGGGATTGAACCACCCTTTGCAAACAAATCCACCGACATTGCTCGGCGTGTCGGACACCTAAGAGAGGATAGAGGATAACCCCCCCCCTAACCCCCCCCCCGCCCGACGTCTGATACGTGGGGGGGGGGGGGGGGG